CCCGTTCCTCGGCCCATCTCCATCCTGTGGTTCCTGTGGTTCTCGAATCTCAGAACGGGTTATCCGTACGTACTTAGTTGAGAGGCACGGAACCGGGTACCGCAACGTCCTCCACTTTGTTTGACCGATGCGATATAAGATGCAGGCGCAGGTCGCAGGAAGATACGGGAAAACCCACACCACTACCAGACAAAAAGGGGAAGAAACAAGCGTACGGGTTGGTTGTTCATTGAATGAGCCGAGGAACCTCCACTTCTTTCGTTGTCCATCCGAGCTTTTCGCGCGACATCTGTTCCCCCCCTTGGTTGAGTCTGGCCTGGGCTGATAATATCCGTTCACGCAACGAACTAGCAACGACACCCGGGAAGTAAATGCAAAAACCCATGTCAACCATCTGACGAGAAACCTGCGTGAGGAGCCAGAAGTGAGCCGCAGCCCGACAGGCCTTTGCGTGGCTTGGGTCCCGTCCTCCCCAAGCTGGAAAGAGTAATCCGCAAGAATCAATCAAGCAATGGGATTGGACACTTCATCGGAGACCAAGGGGAAGGAGGGGGGGGGGGGGGAGGATTAAAGTAAAGTAAGGCATCACGGCATCTCGCCTCGTTGGAAATCCAACCTCTAAGCTACGTACCCTAGCCCCCTCCTCTTTCCCTTTGGGAGCCAGGCCAATGGAACGAGATGTCGGACCTAGCGTCCCCAAAGAGGAATACACCGTTCTCCGTACCTGTTCGTACATGTATTGGGGTATCGTGAGGAAGGGGGGAGGACAAGCGCGTGGTCCAGCGATCAAACGTTCAGGTACGGAGAATAGGTAGACACGCCTCTTTTTCGAGGAGAGGCTAAATGCGGGTGGTTGCACCTTGTTCATTTCAATGTGCATCCATCGTACCTTATCATCACCTCCCTCTTCCTGCTTTCCCTCAGAACGCGCGCCAAAGACGATTTGAGCATCCGGGAGACTTCAGAGAGTTGAACTGCAAACGATACGTACTTCGCAGTGTAATAAAACTGTTTCCTTCTGGACTACGTACCCAGGCATTGCTCCGTCTATCATCCGAGACTCCGTCCCTTGCTGATCAGGGCAAGTTCTCTTTAGAAGTTCAGAGTCTAGACTTCACAACATGGCCCCATCTTCCAGCCAAACGAAATCTCTATTAGGTTATTAGTGAGGTTCACTTGCGCCGCGATGTGACTTCTAAACCGTTAGGCCTCCCCCTCGTCGCCCCCTCGCCCCATTCCAATCCCAACTGAACCCCCGGGCGGATGGTATTCCCGTCCATAAACCGACGACGATCCCAGTACTTCATCCCCGAGAGCACCCACCCCAGGATCAAGAAAATCCCGTCAAAGGGGAAACTTCACGTTCCACAATCCCGAGGAGAAGGATAGGATGGCAGCAGTGGTGAGGCGAAGCAGCAAGGTAAGGGTTGGGTGAGAAAAAGGAAGAGGGCGAGGAGGGATTGAAATTCCGTTACCAACAGGAAGGATTGGCGAATCCATCTTGGCAAAAGCCCGACAAGCCGCAAACCTGCCTGCTGTTCGGCCCTCGTGTTTATTCGTCAGAAGTCTCCGCTTTACCGCTCCTTTACCTCCTCGTTGTCAGCACGTGTCAGATATGAGTCGATCTGGGGTGTGTATCCGTATGTGTGTGTGTGTGTGTGTGTGTGTGTGAGTGTGTGTGTGGTGTCCTAACAAGCGGGCGGTCTCATGAGCCCGCAGGCGGAGACTGGTTTTCCCCTTGCTCATGGCAAAAGCCCATTTCAGGTTGCGTCCTATTCTTGCTCCAGCGGTTGGGATTGTTTGCTTATTCTTCTCTTGAAATGCTGTCTTGTCTGTCTCACTCTCGTCACAGTTGGTTCTTCTGTCAGACTTGTCTCTGAGCCCACTGAGGTATCCGTAATAACCCCGTTTGCCCATTGTCCGGATACCCGATAGACTGTCCCACGTATCTGGGTGCCCTGCACTAGCCACTTTCTTATGGGTTGGTCTTTTAGGTTGGGTTTTCTCGTCGCCGGAAGGGGGGATTTGCACTGTTGGATCCCTTGGACGGGCTGGTGTGGATTTCACGTTTGGGCGGATAGGACAGGGATTGAACGGGGGCCTGGCATTCGGTACGGTTGGGCCACTTCTTTCCAAAGCCTCCGGTGTATGCGTGTGTTTTTGGGCTGTCTATTCTGTTCCAGTGTCATTTACTACGGAGCAACACTGCTCATACTGTATCTCACTCTCATGAGATTCGTCGGGGGGGACGGGACACGACTCTCTGGGCGCATCGAGGCCCAGGCGCTCTGCGGAGACGGAACGAGAGACGAACTCGAGATTTCCCATGGGCCCATCAGAGATTCAGAGCCCAAGCACCGGGGCGATGCAAGCGCACTGCACATTTCATCCCGTCTTCTCCAGCACAAACCAAACATGAGTAGTCGCGGGATTATGTAAGGAGCGATCTGGACCGACCCGTCTACCAACCTTAGTCCTAAGGTAAGAGGAACCTGTGCAAGGTGTACCTGGATACTTGAGGTACCTGCTGCGTAAGGACTGGGTCCAAGCCTGTGTAAACAGCGCTGGAAGGACCGACTTCCCGAGACGCTCTGTCGCTTCATCGCCAGATGCCCCAGAGGTACTGGGCCCGCCCACCTCACGATGTATAGGACAGTAGCCAGAGTGCGAGAGCAGGCGCAAGAGAAAGAGCAAGAGCAGAACTTCGGCAATCGCCAGCATTGGAAGGAACCAGCAGCAGCGACAAGCTAGGCAGAAGGAGCCACGAACGGTTAAATTGATGAATCACAGCCAGGCCCCTGCTGCGTTACCTCTCGCAGGGCTTGAGTATCGTACGCTCCCAGCCCGGTCATCTAGCCTGATGCTCCCGTCAAATCCCAAACTCCTTCCGACTTCCAAGCTTCCAGCCCCCAACTCCTCGAAAGGCCTTCTCTTTTGGGCCGGCACCCACGCGAACAATAACATGGCCTGCTCTTCTCCCCCACTTTCATCTTACGGCCGCAATCATATCAGGTCACGGTTTGTCTCAAGAATAGACATTACACAGTGCCCTCGTCAATCCCAGCCCAGCGGTCACGACAATGCTTTTCTTTTTTTTTTTTTGTTCGAGAAGCATTGGCACGGGCGCTTAGCTGTCTAACGCGCAGAGATGCCTTCTCTGACCTCTCTCCCCAAAATCGCCCGCCTCTTTCAATGTGACCCCAAGGATCTGGTCCAAGGCAAACAGAGAACCACCGAAGCCGAACCAGCTTGTTGGGAGACTCACCCGTGGGAGACGAAAGCAGCGAACGGCACAGCTCGATCAATCAATGCCAATGCACGAGGCGGTCAGACATCACCGCCCGCAAAGTCTTAGCAACCAGAAAACGTCAGACCTGCCAGGCCTGTAAGGCTGTCTTTGGCAACCGCAACATGCCCTGTTTGGGCTGCTCTGACCAATGCCTACATACGGACACATACTTGAATACGGAGTACAGATACCTTTGCTGTATTCTATTCTAGCCCCCAAGTGCGGATACCTATTCGTTCAAAGCTACGAATATAGACACACGTCCACCGCGGACGGCTACACAGGACACGCCTTTGCTTTCACACGTACTATCTCGGCCGAAGGGGCACTGGGTTTCTCTCCACCCCTTATTGGTCTCTTGCACCGAAACGACAATGTTCCATGCGTGCTTCTACGCCATCTTTTGCTTATTGACATGCGCACGTTGAACGACGTACCCATATGTCGACTCATCTTTGTGTCACTACCCATCAGGATAGCAGACAGTGTCAACGTTGAATGTCAAAGTCGCTGTCGACGTCAACCTAGGGTTTCGGCGCCACGCAAACACGAGTACTGACGCATCAGACACGGGTGCAGCTACAGCTACAGGGAACCATCGCCATACACTTTGCCTCGAATTTACATCACATACACGGTAACCCAGGGACAGCCTGTGTCTACAATGCAGCGGCCCGGCCAAAGGCAGACAGAAAATTTTCTGGGCCAGTCAGGCACTCGCCCACTTGCCTGACACTACATAACTATAGAAGAATCATGCCACCCCGCAGCTGCACAGCGGTGCACCGCATCGCAGGTCCGGAACACCACAAGCTGCATACCGGTGACACCCACTGTTGTCACTCCTCCTGGGCCGGCCTCGGGGAGGCGGGCAATTCACCATATGGTTTCTCTGGGTCCGCGCTGCGGGGGCGGGATTCTCGCTTGGAGATATGGCTGAATCGGCCGTAAACGATTTGACGGAACCCTGACGCCACGCCACCCGATTTACTTTGCCTCGACACGCGAACCGAACACGGCCACCTTCTTCTACCCACGCGGCCGGGTCCATTGTCGATATGGCTGCCTCATCAAAAGGCACATTTTGGGCTTGGGGCGTTTGCAATGGATCTTATCCACGAGCTTACCTAGGCCAGACCCGGCCATCATCTCGGCGGACGATTCAAGTATTCCAACTCGGCCGACGGCAACTGACAGATTACGAGCTATATCTTCCAGGTTCCGCCTTTGCCAGACAAAGGGGCAAAGACTCCATGACACGGGAATACTAGCTATTGCCCCTGTTCCCAATCCGGACTGCGAGGCAAAAGTCAAAAGTCAAGATGCAGACCGGCTGCAACAACGTCTTTCAGTGGCAGGTGAGAGATGACACGTCCTGGTGGACGAGTTGCCGCCAACCTGCCTGTATCCAATCAAGCGTGTCGCCGGCGCTGCAGGCGGGCAACTATTGGTGCAAACATCGTTGCAGACGACCAGGACTCTGTAAAGACCTTCTTTCATGGATTAGGTACAGACAGGTGTTTTCGTCATGTGCATCAACCAGCCCCCGACTCAGGGTAAATAGGAGCAACGTGGGATCGTTCTGGCCAACGAGCAGTGACTGTTAGAACCAACCGCATAGCAGCCGCATATGACCCGCCGCCCGCCGGAGTTGGCGATCACGGCGATGATACCCCCCAAAGAAAATAAGCCCATTTGGCCAGTCGGGTCGATGAAATCTTCAGCAATCATATCGAAGTTCTGCCAGCCGAGAGACGACCCTCTTAGAGTTAGCGGTCCCAAGCTCTCAAGAAGTTCCCTGAGCCCCGCTCGAATACCACCCGTGGACCGCATCGATGCAACTGGCCTCAATTCCGGCTCCGAGCTTTACTGGAAACGGTTTTCTCTGCATGGTGCGGGGCCCGCGGAAGGACAGCCCTCGACAACTCTACCTACCAGAGAAACCAGACAGAGGACTCAAACAGCTCAACTTTGTGTCGTCACGTCACGCACGACTCGAATGACTTGCAGCGGCTACATCTCCTCGACCCTTTCGTGTGCATGTATTGACCAGGAAGATTTTTCTATTATTCTGCAAAGCGGCCGCTTCCCCTCTTTGTTGATTGCTGTTACAGGATGTTCGAATCGGTTCGGACTTCATGGACTCCGTCTCACTTGTCTGTCCTTGCTCTAATGGGATGGGTCTTGGAGGTCAAGTAATTGACCGGCACCTCGGTCGCACCAAATGGAGCCCCTTTGGTGGCAGATCATACCCACCGACTAATGAAGTCTGCGGGTTTGAGTGGCGCTACGGAAAGATTGGCTTGGATCGACGCTCCCATGTGTTGATTACCCGTCGGACCCTTTTCTCTAATTACGGAGCACGTCTTGGGCATCCTAAAGACACACATCGAATGTGCATGAACTAGGAACGATTGGTATTGAATTGCGTTCTGCCTACGCAGTTGACGTCTTACACTCCATTTGTCACTGTGCCGGGTTCAACCCAGGGCAGCTGAGCCAGAGGGTCGGGAAACCCCAGCCAAGTGGTAGACGGTGTGGGCGGCAAAGGCTTTGTTCGCTCTCTGTGTCTATTCCAATCTCATCTCTCAGATCTGCCAATTGGGGCTTTCGGTGGCTTCGCAAACTCTCTACCACGAAGAAGAGAAGATCTGTTTCCTCTCTCACCGCCTGTCCGAAACCAATCAGCGGCTGAACCATTGTTTTGGGAGTTCAACTGCCTTGGACGAAGGATTCTTACAACCAGGGCATCAGAGGGAGTTGAACCCAAAGAGGCAGCTTCATCCTCGATAGGTTTCAATACGCGTGCCCAGACTTGCAGGCCAGATCCACCTCAACCTCTGGATCGCCCAATTGGCTCCTTTACGTGAGAGGCTTTGTCTTTTATGGTTTTATTGCCACAAGCAACACCTCGATTTGGAGATGATCCTTCAGTCAGCTGCAAAATTGTTGTTGCTAAGCTCAGCTCAGCTCCTTTCAAGGGGGGCCAATAAGTGTATGGAACGGCAACATCAACAAATAATGCTGATCTAAACTTGTGGTTTTAGAAAGTCATACCGACCTTACAACCCGACCAATTCTGGAGACCTAGGCCGAATCCTATAGTCTCACAGGGTAGCTTACCCCTACATTCCAAATGCCACGGGATAGATGGAACGTATCGACAACAACAAATACAGCCTTGCAACCTTGGCGGGGCAAAAACGTCGTCGCCTCCTGCGTTTCAGGGTCGCAGACTACGGATACGCCGAACCAGGTCGCCGGCGTATCGACAGCTCCCCAGCCGCCAGTCTCATTAGCCGCTACGAGTGCCTGGCATGAACAGATCTTGCAAATCTGCGGCGCCTTCGCGCCCACCCGCTGTTATTTCCGGAACACCCTACCACCTCAACCTACTGTGTAATACGCCACATGTCAATCCAAATTCCCAAGCAGACGGTGCGCCGCTCTCAACGGTTTCGGTGCGGCGGCTCGAGTTCGGTAGTGATTGGCGTCGGGGGCGTCCGTCATGAGACCTCCCCATACCTCCACTTTGGGATACCGCTTCGTTGCATTGATGACGTCCTCTGCGTGGCTGCGATGGGCTTGGGCGCGTCGATTTGGCTCCATCAGAGCTTCCAAATCACAGGTCAATGAATGCTTCTTCGAGCGCCTCCTGTGACCTGCCGGCTGCGTATCACGTCTGTCCTGGAAAGTACTCTTCCCTTGGTTCCTAGGCCTCTGCCATGAGTTTATGGCTGACAGGCGCAGGGGGTTACAAGTCAGTGACAATTTCCGCAAACCCCATCTATGGCGTATGCGAATATCCCATTTTCACAGCAGCATACACAAGAGCGTTTCTTCTTGTGAAGACTACCCGTACTTTCTTCAGCCGTGTCGTTGAACTTGTTGCACGGGTTTCGTCTGATCGCCGCGTCTTCTGGAATTCTCAGCCTCCCCGGTCCCTGTCAAACGGGCCGAGACGAAGCGTCATCTCTACTCATTTTCCCCCTCGGGCCCCTCTCCCTTCCTCTGCGGGGACTGACACGATGAACCGCTATGGAATTTTGACTTCTGACTCTGCTACGGTACGGTAGCATTGGAATTTCGCCACCATTTAGTTTCCAGTCGATTTCTCATTGTTTGCCAATTACCAAGGTCGGGGTGTGGACAGAAAAAGAAAAACAGAAAAACAGAAAAGATGAGCGGCACGGCGGGTATCCCGCTTGCCGGTTTTTGAATGTAGGTCGTCCCCGGGGTCCTTGTCCTTGTGCCGGCCCGGTTCGCGTGACTTTCCTGACTTGTAGGTCAACGCCGTCCGGTCACAGAAGGACTGCCCCCAAATGGCCAAACTACACAATAAGGTACCAATATCCACCCCCTGTTTCCTTGTTGGCGATCATCACCGTGGCCGCTGCCAGGTGAGAGCCAGTTGTGAAGCTTTGTATTTCTAATCTGCTGTTTCTTGGGGGCCGTGTTAGATTGTCATCGTCGCTGGGACAGAGGTAAATCGACTCGCAGACGTTGGCGCCCGCTACCCCCGCGAACCCGGACCCGAATTCTGGTCCGGCTTGACGTTGAGGAAAGTTTTTGGTATCCTTGCTGCTCCGGGGCACAAGGCTTTGAACTTAGAGACAGCGTGGCAGCCCACCAGACGCATGTTTTCGACAGCGTGGCTCACAGGGGTCTTGGCGGCTGTGCTTAGAGTTTCCATGTTGCAACTCTATTAGAGTTGTGGTTGTCCCTGATAGCAATCGTCGCAAGGTGTAAGTCAAGCTATCGTGACTATTGTTGTATTCTAGGGGGCTAATTGATATCGAAGACTTGATAAACTCCCATGGTCTTGGCAAGGGGGCTTTGTCTTCCGAGTTCCCTTTCCCCTCGCCGGCTCACGATACTAAACAACTCTACTCTGTACGCGGCGAATATTCGGCGGATGCGATGCGATATCCCCTGAATTATTCGGATCTCGGCCACGCTGGGAAACTTTGAGGTCATCGGCGGACTGATCGGAAGATTGTGGATAATTATTGTCTGTGAAACGGGCGTTTGGGGAGAAAGCGCAATCTTGGTCCATTTCGGCCCCGGATATCGTTCATGTTGACCGCTTCGAAGAGAAGGCCGAGGCGCGCGCAGAGTTCGCAATCGACTTTCTCTTGGCCAGCGAAATTGCCATTGACAAAGTTGTCAGTGCGGTTCACTCTGAGGGGAAAACGAAGCACGCCACCTTCCGTCTCGTGATACGGTGATTGCTGCTCGTGCACCATCACAGACTGGGTTTCATCCTCGATGCTGACGACGACACAATTTGCAGAGTTGCATGTTGAGTTTTGTTCACAAGTCGGGAATGCTCGCTCTCGCAAAAGCTGCGATCGGGTGCTAAAGAACCCGGACCACGATGGTGACATTTTGCTAGGCATGCTCACCATCGTGACTGGGGTTTGAGGGTCGCGGACCCCCTTTCTTGTCGAGGTCCATACGCGTGATTCAACTATCTAGATCATAGACCGTAGGCCCTTCTCACCTTATCTGGATGCCGTCCAGCGTTGGTGAGGGCACAAACGGAACAGGGTACTTGGTCGTTCTAGAGAGAGGCAGGGGGGCTTCCAACAGCCAGAATCTCTGTACTTTTGTGAAATGCGATAACTGTCAGGAGGTAGTCCAGTCCGCGCTCAGGTCTGCCAATAGCTATGCCGGAAGTGCCTCTAGATAGCAATAGATACGAGAAAGATGCTTAGCTATTTGGCAGTAGAAACTTTTGACACGATGTCCGCAGTCTTCTGCCCCTGAAGTACGATGAATACTTGAGACCCTTCTCACGAGCTGGTAATGAAGGCATTCGCAGGTTCGAGTTTCGAGCAGTCACCATACTGCGTATACAACTGCCGCGAACATCATCCGAAAGTGCCTGATCGATAACGTACCTGTATCAAAGTGCCGGGGAGGGAACAGGCATACGGATGATGGTGTTCGAAATTCGACGTGCGCTTGTCCCTTGCAAAGCCTGCAAAGGGCCGATTTACTTTGCAACAGCATATCTAAACACCGATAGCCTGGGGTTTGTTTCCCACCCTCAAACCCCCCATCAGCATTGTGTCCAAAGACTCGTTGACTTGGCGCCTTGGTACTCCGTGCTCCGTCCGCAGGTTGTGGTGAGGGTAGACTTTTCTGCCCAGGCGGCAATGGGAGGCAGACTCGGGAGGCGGAACGCATTGAACGACACATACAGACAGACGTGTGCATGTGCGAATCTTGCGAAGAATATCCGAAGTGTCGTCTCGTTGGTGTGTACGCTGTAATGAGGCCTTGACGAGTTTCAAACGACAGAGAGCGCGCCAATGGGAGGAACGCGGAACTCGACGCGGGCTGGCAACGCCGAACTGGGTAGTCACCACCCACCAACGAGGCAACGACGGCTTCTGTTCCGAAGTCAGGTTCACCGTTCAGGGTGGTTGAGGGCCAATAAGAGTTGCGTGCTGTTGGAGCTTGGATTCAACCGAACCCCGTTGCCTCGGGGGCTTGTTCCACCGCTTTAGTAAAGATGTCCCGTTTCATGATAGCTGGCCCTTTCTGCAGTGTTTTTTTTCTGTGCCAAGAGCGCTGTGGTTCGGGGGGTGTTCCACGGCTTCTGCCCAAGAGGGCAGGTCAGCGTCGGTTGAGGAGTCCTGCGAGGCCCCGAATGGGACATGAGTTCGGGGATGTTGGATGGGGTTTGGCACTGTCCACGTCGGGAGATGCGCCGTAAAGCCGCGGTAGAGGTGGCTCATTTCCAACGTCTTTAGTGGGGTGGTTGCGAACGCATCGTCTCGTCTCTGTCTTTTCGGACGAGAAAAGGACCCTCCCCACCTATCCCACCTATTGTGGTATGTCGACAATCGACGACGACGACAGCTACACGTAACCGTGCTGTACATATGCAGACGAGGACGAAGACGGCGATGACCGACGGCCGGTGCGGCACTGGCGGTGCGTGGCTTCCCCAGTAGACGCGTTGAATTACGGCCAGGGGTTATGGAAATAGAACCGAGCAGAGAGAAGTTATTGACGCGCTGTATCCGTGCATGTTAATGTCACTAGGTGACTATGACGCAGATGGGAGACTCTGCTCCGAGCCTCTGATTGCAGAGACCATGCTCATATTACCTCCCTGTCAGAGGGCTGTGATGTCCCGCGCCATCACCCGCTGCCTACGACTATGCGCGACCTAGGGTGTAAATTGGCGATCAAGGGCGAGGCTGGGCGTGTTGGAGTCAAATTCTTGTTTCTCTTCCCTGCGTGCCGGTGTGATGAAGAACATGATTCTCCAGTGTTCTCTCTAATTTTTTTCGGGTTCAATGGAGCTCGTACGTTGGGCACCATTGTCGATTGGACCGGCCGGATGGCGGACATTGAGGGTGTTGAAACTCGCAACGGGGTTCCTCCCAGGGAAGTTTGGATGGGCGTTGTGAGGCGAGCGGGAGGGCCCGCGGCGCCGGACCGGGGGGTCGGGTTTTGAAAATTGGAAAATCGTTCTTTCGCTAGGGACACTGGCGTGAGGTCGTTGTATCCTCTGTTTTGAAGCCTGAATAGGGTGTTGTCAACTGCTGATCAACATTGCGAGTTTTGTCTCCTTGCAGTTTTTGCCCCATTGCAACTCTGTGCAATTGCAGACTTGCGTTGATTCGTACTAAGAGTTGACCGGGGTCCCACTTCGGACGAAGCCCCTGAAGGCTGAGTGAGAAGTTCAGTAAGGAAACTTCGGATGAGTTCCTAACTTCTTATTTAGCTGGGGAGGGGGGGGGGGGGAATTAGATTCAGGACTTGGATGCTCTTTGAGACTTGGACCGCGGGAAGACGGAATGCTGCGGTGGCTATGGCAGATACCCAAGATGTGAACAAACAGGATGGACGACGGCATCGGCGGGATACAGCTCATCTCGAATGCCTGTCCTAGGATGAATCTAGGCAGCTTTGCCAGGAATTAATTGGTGGTGATAGCTCGCGTTCATGGTGTATGTTTTTTGGCTTGTTAGAAGGGCTTGGCACATTACTTTGCCCGCGAAATGCCAGAATTGTTTCCTAGAAGGGACGGTAAGTTCAATTGGCCCTGGTTCGTGACCCCTTCATCATGAGACTTCCTCATCAGGGACAACTCAGGAGAGGGAACCCTGAATCTTGGGTCAAGGAGTCGCAGACTGCAGTCTTCTGGGCGTATCGGGAAGTTTCTTAGATGACTTTTATTTTGACTTTTTGACAGCCGTTTTGACAGGGCCCCCGTTCACCGTTGGCTCTACAACGCTAGACCTGGAAGGGAAAAAGGAAACATCCACGGGCAAGACTGGGCCCTCCGTCCGTTCTGGCCCGTACCGTCTATGGGACGTCTAATATCCGTAGTCTTTGGCTAGATGCGTGTATCCGTATGTGTGTGAACTTGTGTGCCGACAACGCCGAGGAATGCTCTCATTACCCATTTTTATTGTGTTGAAGTTTTTCTGCTCATGGTGATTGTTCAGCCTTTTCGAGCGAGTCGAGTCCAGCGCTTGCTATGCAAGGAGCGCGCGGAGTGTGATTAGGTAGCTGTCAGTGTCGTGGTATGCGATATGGGGCCCTGTGCTGTTCACAACTTCACTGTGGGATCCATATCCGCATCCGCAGATATAATGGAGACGTTCTCTTGGCCCCGAAAGAATTGCCTTTCTGTGCTCTGTTCTCCGTCCAAGCGCGGCCCAAGGGAATGGGCGACTGTGCGGAGACCTACGTCACAGGTGGCTCCTTTCTCCTACAGATTTGACTCGGCCGTTTTTCAATGAGGTGGACTTGGGAGGTGGATATCTGTATGGTTACCCTAGGATCCTGGATGTTGTTCTGGGCACCCATGCGATGGGGATGTTCGACTCTTGTGGTTCGGGGCCGGCCCCCGGAAGTCGGGAATTCTTAATCTGTGGTGTGTGCTCAGTTAACCGTCAGTGCGCTACAGTGCACGGTCTTTGTGATAGATGAGAGATCATCAAGAAAATCTGGGAATCGAGGGAAACAGTGACGAGTCCTGACTCGGCGGTGGAAGAAACTGCCTCAGATGCCATGATCTGATGATCGAGAGGGTTTGAGCCGCTTAACACCCCATGATTTGGATGGATAGAGTCGCCAGGGCATACTAGGTATCTGTCGTATCGAACAGCCCGGTAGGTTTGAGTAAGTCTCTGCTGTGCCGCACATGGGTTATTATTATAGCGACGGCTGAAGCGCGAAAAAAACGGAACTGGACCGCACCGATGGGATTTGCTAGTGTTTGCCCTCGTGAGAATAACAAGTGACCTGCGAGAATCGGGAGAGTGTGGGAAGAGGACCCTTGACATCCGAACGCACAAGTTCCAGGGGAGGGTTTCCCTTGTTCCACTCGTTCTTCATAGGGCTTCACCGAGGATGGAGATTTGGAGGTGCCACCGTGCCAGGGCCCAGGGACCAAGGTGGGTGCGAAAGAGAGAAGGGAAAATGGGAGGAGACTGTCATGGTCTCATGGCACCGTTACGCGGCCCAGCCCCGGGGACCCTGTGTGTTGGTAACCGGGCTGAGATTGCCAGATTGCTCTGCCTTGGCCGCGCGACTCATGTTGTGCGGAATTGCGGCAGCATGATGAGTCGGTGTCCAAGATTTGGGGAGCTGGGGGGGATGTAAGGCGTCTGTGCTTCTTCTCGTCAAGGTGGTGATGGTAGGCGATGCCGTGATGGCGGTGCCAACACGTCTCCTTTGAGCTTGGGAATCGAGCCACTGGAAGTTGACTCTGTGGTGCCGCGGCTGGCGGAAACGCGAAAGGAGGTTCTTGGAGGCCGCTCTGTAATATTTGAAGAAATACGAGGCCGAACCGAGGTACTGGGATCGGAACAGATCCGTCTTTGGGGGCGTCCCGGAAGTTCATGATACCACTTCGGGCGGCTGTGGTCGGTGGCTGTCACGGTTCAGGCTGACCGTCGGCCGCTTGATGGTGCCAGCGTTGACTTACACTCCGGGGCACAGAGGCCCGGCGCTGTTGTCTAATAGTACCGTCTCATACGGACAGGGACCTCGGAAAGCAACTTGGTTGAGTAACATCGTAAAGTTGAAATTGTTTCAAGAAGAGGGCCCGATTGTTGAGGTGGACCAAGACAAACGAGAGCAAGTCAGCAGGATGAGGCCGATATTAACTGCCATCCTTACCAACACGGCGGGCCCTGACTGACGCCGCTAGCGTGGACTCGTTGGTTGCGAACTTGTCGTCAATAATCTGTCAGATTGTTGTCAGCCGTTGTTGTCCCTTGTCTCGGCATATCAAGCAAACTGTCAAACCTGTCAAACCTACCGCACTCGCACATCAATTCTTCTTGGAAACTTTGGGGGTGCCGAAGGGGTTTGGGAGTTGAAAGGGGAAGAAACCAAGACAGCTAGCTGAGGG